TTGATGATCTAACCACCATTTGACTCAGAATTATCTCCTCTACAACTTTATTTAAGCCTTGAAGATATCTTTACTTATTAACATCTTGTATAAATTTAAAGAATTTATTGAGAAATCAAATAACAGATTTAATATTACACAATTTAATAGAATTATTTATATTAGTAGTCTAAATGTTATCATTACACACAAATATTTTTAGTATATAGTTTAGGTTTTTAACACGCAATATACCATGATAGCCCGGGTGAAGAAAATATGCTAGTAAGTAAATATCGGCATTAAAATCCTTCTATCTTTTATTAAAAATTTGTATACAATAAGTTTTAAACCTCTTGGCACATAAATTTGATACTTTTTTAATAGCAGCTGCTAGTTGAATAAATTGTAAAAAGCAATCTGCCAAAGTTGTTGATCATACTTCCAAATTAACGATTGCTGTTCGAATAGGAGATAAGATTTTAACCAAGACTTTAAGATCTGAAAAAAATATAGTCATCTCAAAATTTGTTTTACATTTCGATTGGTAATTAAGTCTGAATTTTCATTCATAATCTGTAATATAAATAATATAAAACTTAGTTATTTTCTACAATATATATAAAATATTAATTAATATAAAAATTTACCTTGATAAATGCACATTCAAGCCGGCTAACTGATAAAGTATATTCGTATGCAGATATCCATTATGTATCCACAAATTTCTTTAAGCCACCACCAGCAATTTTTAATTTATTTATTGCTTGATGCAAATATGAACTTGACTGATAAGATTTTGTAAAAAACTTAATAATTTCATTACATTCTTTCATAATACAAGAGACAAATCTACATTCTAAAAAATTTATATACAGTATTATTAATATGCTACAATAAGTTAAATATATATATGTATTATAATATATATGAAGAATGTCTTTCGATATAAAATTGATACAATGCGCAATACAATTCAGATTTAGGATCTTTGGATATTTTTGATGAATCATTTGTCGGGCTAGCTTTATGTTGCTAGCATTGTCTGTCACAATTGCTGCGAATTTATCACACCCAATTTTATTCAAAATTGCATCAATTTATATCTACAAAAAATATAGCTGTATGTGAATGTTCTGAAAAATCATATAATAAATATAAAAATCTATTGTGCATAGGTATTAAAATTATAAAACTATATATAGAGTTTCCATTGGGAGATGTCTATTCATCTAGAGCTTTAAAAATATATATAATTTAGTAAAAATAATAAAACATAAATTCAATAAATTAATAATTATATAGTATGTACCAATAGTTAGATTTTCTAATTCATTAAAAATAGCCTCATGCTTAATTATGATTTTAGAATGTTTTTGATCTAATAGTCGGCCTGCTAAGACTACTCTTGAAGGTGGTTGATAGGTTGGACACAAATTTTGGAGAAGATCAATAAAAAATGGGTTTTCAATTGCAGAAAATGGAATACCACAGACTGTAAATGCTTTTAATAATGAACGATTTATAGAATAAATTCGTTCTTCAGATAAATCTTCCTCTGCAGTTCGTGGAAAGTATCTTTTAAGACTAGATTGATTATTTTAACTTTTTTTTTTTTAAATTGAAATTTTCTGAATATAATTCTTCAATGTTGTCGCGTAAGGCTATACAATGTATGAATAATTGTCGGACCTCATTATTTACATTAGGGCAATCAAATGCAAGATGAGCTTCAAGTCTTTGTGGTTCGCCTCTTGCCCATTTAGCTGGACAATAATTATATTTAGCAAAAAATATCCTTTTGATGTGGTTTTTTCTTTATGAAAAAACTCCAAACTGGCGATAAAATTCGTCTCCCTGAGTTGGTTTCATTTGATACGTTTGAATTATAAGTATATTCCAAAGATAAAGAACTTGATGATGTTTCTTTTCTTTTGGATAAAGAGGTTTCAGGTACTTTAGATTTTCCTTTATCAACTTGTAATGCACTGTCTATTTTGTTTTTTTTTGATACAAGAAAAAAAAACAAGAACATGTATAAAAGATATTTAAGCATTTTTTTTGTATTATCTAATCAGGAACGAGAACTGTCTGGGAACTATATGATGTGTAATAGTAAAACATAAGTTAGACAAAATTTACAAAATATCGAGGTATTCAATTGTTTTTTCAAAATTTATTTTTTAATTTCTTTTACTTACTTAAATATTTCAAAAAAACATAACTAAAAAATAAATTATGAAATAGAAATTAGTTTGATTAATG